AACACCCTAAACAAAAAAAACCAAAAAAAAAAAAAAAAAAAAAAAAAAAAAGGTGCCAGTCATTTTGATACCCCATTATTTTATGACGCAACTAGAAAAAAAAACGTGTTGCCAATCAGACCGTGTCACACTATGGCTTGTAAGTCACATCCCAATTTCTGAATGACAAAGAGTACTTCTTAAAATCAGTAAAACGTGGAACTTTGAAAGATGTTAGTATTCTGTTATAATTTTGTTGACTTTAAGGGTGAACGCTTTGTATAATTTATTGTTACAATCTTCTGGCAGATGGCGATAAAGTCTCTAAGAGGATCCGTATCTTATGACACTTTTCCAACAGATGGCAGTGAAGTGACCTGAGAAAGTGGTGTCTTTTTCCTTACAATCAGTAAAACGTGGAACTTTGAAAGATGTTAGTATTCTGTTATAATTTTGTTGACTTTAAGGGTGAACGCTTTGTATAATTTATTGTTACAATCTTCTGGCAGATGGCGATAAAGTCTCTAAGAGGATCCGTATCTTATGACACTTTTCCAACAGATGGCAGTGAAGTGACCTGAGAAAGTGGTGTCTTTTTCCAATCCATCAAGTGTTCCACGCAGGCTAGCATCTTGTGTTCAGAACTACAACTCCCAGCAATCCCTGCCTCCCAAAGCTCCCCCACCCCCACCACTGCCCTACGGCCTCCTGGGAGTTTGGGTCCTCTGGCAGACAGGTACCTGGACCTCATCCTGAGGGTGATGGACCACCAGCGCGTAGGCCAGGGTGTCCTCGGAGAGTGGGGAGAAGTTGGCCTGGGCCAGCAGGGGCTCCAGAGCCCGAAGCACCTCCTGCTCATTGGAGAGACGCTGAGGGTCTGTTAGTGATGGCTGGTCGAGGGTCTCCCTGTCGGGGTTGATGGGGTCATATAAGGCCTGAGGAGAGAATCAGAAAGAACTAACTGGGCTAGACCACGGCATGAGGATTGCACTTATCCACTGAAGCATGTTCCTGTCCCCATCTTTTAAATGACAGGGTACCTCCGGGGTTGGATCCCGGACCCTCTACCCTTCCATCCCCTCAAGTTCACCCAGGTCACCCTGCCATTCCTGGGCCTTTAAACACCATCTCTGTGCAGATAACTGCCCAGCTCACACCTCCAGCTTAGAACTCTCCTCCAGGTTCCAGGCCTACAATCCAATCCTGGGGCTGGCCCTGAGGCCTAGTAATTAAGGGAGCTGGATTCCACATGGCTGACTCTGGTTTGAGTCCTGGTTCTGGACAGCTTGAAAACACACCGGGTGCATGTGCGTGCATGCCCCCTGGACAGCTTGAAAACACACCAGGTGCATGTGCGTGCATGCCCCCAGTCCCAACAGGATGGAGACATGAAGAGATTGCAGCGTGACCAGGCCCCATTGAGGGGTGCTTTCTCCCATTCTCTCTGAGTCTCTCTGTCTCTGACAAGTACGTGCATTCTCTGGCAATGAAAAAAAATCCAGTTCTGGTGCATGAGTATGTGTTTTTCAAGGACATAGGCTGCCCATGTGGAGACTCCATTTCCCAGCCTCCCCTTAGGCCAGGCATGGCCAGGAGACTGACATCACACCCTGTAAGTGGAAGAGAAGGTCCACCTTCCCCTCATATCTTGCTCCCTGGATTTCCATTCTTCCCTTATTCAGCCAGCTTAGAACACTGCTTTAACCACTGTACTACAAATATATATTCTTTTAAGAGAAATGTTTGCTATAGAGCCCATGCACTCACCAGAAAGACAGAGAGAGACAGAAAGCGAGAAATCAACCCCCAGGGGGGTGGCCACGCCACAATCCCTTCTCCATTCTCCTGTCGGGATCTTGGGCATGCAGGCACACCCACCCGGCATAAGTTTAAGCCACTGGGTCCTGGACTTGAACTGCAGTTGATTACGTGGGAGTCCAGCAATGTAACCATTACGCCATCTGCTGGCCCTAAAGATTTCTAATCTTCTATATATTACGGTGTTTTGACATCTTAAAATAAAACTTTCAGACTGATGAGACTGCCCCTCCTACACTTTGCAAATTCTCAGCGCCAGCAAAGGGCATCATGCCTTTGGTACCCCAACTAACCCATCCAGAGCGTGCTCGCCATCTGGCTTTGTGCCCAGGGGACACCATTCCTCTGCTGGAATCACTTCAGGGCCAGGTGCTAGTCAGCAAGGCCGGCCCTATAGTCCAGAGCCCACAGCCCAAAAGAATTACTCAAACCACTGACACTGAGTTCACCCTGCTGCGCTGGCTTCCATGGAAACCCTGGAAGCCCCAGTGAGGGCTCTGACACCCGGCACCTGACATAGCCTTGCGTGGCCCACCAAGCTTCCCAGCTCCTGGACCTGTGTATAGTGAACTCTGCTTTTCCTGAGTCTTGTGTGTCTCTCCTTGTGCCCGCACCTGATCAAAAAGCTCATAAAAGAAGACAAGGCAGGTGCCAGATTGGCCTTAAATGCCATGCATTCGGAGCTAGATCCCACATGGCTGATGGCAGTTCAAATCCCAGTCCCAGCCGCTGAAAAAAACACGCCAGGTGCACATGCATACAAGCTCAAAATCCAAATGGGAAGGAAAAATGGGACAAGGGGATTGTGACTACGCCCCGCCGGGGACACCTTCTCTCCTTCCTTTTCCTGTGGCACAAGGTCCTGCTGGTGGTATTGCCTCCCTCTCTTTCCTGGGGGATAATTTCTTGCTTTCTTTCTCTCTGACAAGTACACATGTCCTATAGCAAAAATCTATTTTTTTAAAAAAATATATAAAACATGCACAACCCAGTTTTTTGTTGTTGTTGTTTTGTTGTTATTGTTGCTGTTTTTTTTATTTGGGGGGGGGGGGGGTTTTTGCTTTGAGGCGCGGGGGCATAGCCATTACGCCAACTGCTGGTCCCCTACAACCCAGTTTTGAACATACAGAGATGAAGATAATGTCCTGAGGGACAGCAGAACAACAAGATGGAAAGAAGCGAGGTCCCTGAAGAGTCCCATGTGGAGCAGAGCCGCCACCCTCCCGCCCACTCACCAGGGGACCGTCAAGTGGGAGAGAAACAACCCCCACCTCCTTCAAACAACTGTTTGTTACCGCAGCTGAGGCTTTGTACGAACTAGGACAAAGTCCCGACGTGGTCGTCTTCAGATGTCACGGCCACCCGATATGTCAGGCCCCCAGATCGGTCCTCAACCTCCAGCCCCAACATCCCCACAAAACAGATTCCCCCCCAGAACTATTTCCCCCACCATCCCTGCCTTTCCCCTAAACATCAGACTTTTTAAGATTTTTGCTATGTGTGTGTGCGTTTGCCAGAGAGATAGAAAGTGAGAAGTCACTTCCCTGGGGGCATGGCCATGCCACAGTCCCTTCACTCTCCTGTCGGGATGCTGGGCACGCATGCACACGCACCCGGCGTGAGTTTCAAGCTGCCAGGTCCAGGACTCAGACTGCAGGTGGCCATGTGGGAGTCCAGAGACATAACCATTCCGCCGCCGGCTGGCCCTGAACATCAGACTGTCACGTTCAGTTAGCTCTTTGACAGCCCCAGGCGGCATCCAGTGGCTTATTTCTTCAATGAGAGAGAGAGAGAGACCGAGTGCACCCCGAGGGTCCTGACGCTGCGATGCGACTCAGCCTCAGCCTGCCCCGGGTCACACAGGGAGGCCAGCTGCAAACCCGGAACCTTCCCACGAGGGCTGGCCCCGCGGGGTTTCCACTGCACCACCGGCAGCCCCCCTCCATCCCCCTCCCGTCCTCTACATCCAGCCCTGGGTACAGCACTGCTAACTCCCTGCCTCTCTCAGCCCACCCCCTCCTCGCCACCTCCGCTGCGACCTCCTCATCGGCCTCCTCACCGTCCCCTCACCTCCACACCGCCCTGGGCTTCTGCTCCCTGCTTTCACTCTTCCAAATCCATTCTCCACGTGGCCGGCGAAAGCTTACTGGGCCGGCAGGTGACATGGAGGTTAGGGCAGCTGGATCCCACCAACGGCTGTGCAGTTCCAGGCTCAGACCTGGAGGCTTGGAACACACACCCAGTGCGTGTGCATGCGTGCCCCAAATCCCAAGAGGAGAATGGAAGAGAAGGATTATGGCCTGGCTATCCCCACCCTGGAGGGGAATTCCTCACTTTCCCTCTGTCTCTCTGTCTCTCTCTGGTGAGCGCATGTGCCCCATGGCAAAAAAAATATGTAAGAGTGAGCTTCCTTAGGTTATAAGCAGATCCCAGTCCCGCCCAGCAGCTTCCCACTGCGCAGAATAAAACCCAGACTCTCCTCGGCCTTCAGGCTGCTCACAAACGGGCCTCTGCCTTGCCCCCCTCATCCTAGGCACAGACATCTCCCCCCAAAAAAACCTGCCAAAGGCGCTTGAAAAGAGCAATTTCCAGCTGCCCGGCCTCCTTCGCTCATGGAGGGACAGTCACGGAATGACAGATAGCTTGTTCCAGCCATAACCCCGCCCTCGGTGGGTGTCTCAGGAGAGGCAGCCTCAGGGACCCCTGGGATTCTGGACTAATGGAAAGAGAGAGGGGAGGGCGCTCTGGGTGTGCTGAGGCCTGTGCCGGGCCCCTTGAGCCCAGGCTGCGGAGCAGTCCCACGGGCCACATTCTGGGACTTACGGCGTGACCTTGAGAGACTCCCTTCCCAGGGCTGAGCCGCACTTCGGCAGCCAGGGCATCTCAGGGCTGAGGAGAAAATCTGCATCCAGTCTCTTCTGGGAGCCTCGTCTCCACCCAGGCGTCCAGCCAGAAACCTGCACATCACGCGGGGCTGCTGCGGCGCCTCCCCTCACACACCACATCCTGCCGCCCCCACCCCGGACACGGACCACTGCGCCCAGCTCTCGTTCCCACTGGTCCTGCCCTGGGCCACACCACCTGGATGACTCCCCCCGCCCCCGTCTTCTCAGTGGTCTCCTCGAATCCCATCGCCCCCACCCCGACTAGTCTGCTCACTACACGGTTGCCAGGGAAACCTTGCCCAAGGATACGCAATAACCGCACAGGTGTACGCGGTGCTCCGTGTGTCAGGACACATCGAAGCATGTCAATCGCACATCCTCACCGTGGGAAATGGTCCTATTGTTGTCCCCATTTCCAGATGTGGAAACACATCTGGGGGCACAGAGAGGTTAAGTGACTGCCCATGATCACACAGCCAGGAAGCGGAGTAGGTGGAGCTACGCACCAACCCTGTCACTCACCTTCCAAAGATGTGACTGCCCTCCAGAATCGGGACCACCTCCATCCTACGGACTGCAAGGCCCCACAGGGACAGAGCACCAGCCCCTCAGTCGGCCTACACCTGCCACACTGGCCTTACTTCCTCCAGCTACAGGGCTGCACAGGCTGTGGGAGGAGCCTCTCCCTGCCCTTCCCTGGCTCCTTCCCTTTCCACTGCAGAATTTCTACTCCTCTGTCAAACTCCAGCCCCATTATCACCCTCAAAAAGCCTCCCTGGCAGGACCAGCAGTTGGCATAATGGCTATGTCGCTGGACTCTCACGTAGTCGACTGTAGTTCGAGTCCCGGACCCAGTGGCTTAAACTCACGCCGGGCGCATGTCCATGCGTGCCCAAGATCCAGAGAGGAGAATGAAGGAGAAGGGATTGCGGCATGGCCATCCCCCCTGGGGGGTGGTTTCTCACTTTCTATCTCTCTGTCTCTCTCTGTCTTTCTAGCGAGCGCACGCACCCTATGGCAAAAACTTCTCAAAAAGCCTCCCTGGGGACCAGCAGATGGACTAATGGTTACATCACTGGACTCCCATGTAGTCAACCACAGTACAAGTTCAAGTCCCAGACTTGGTGGCTTAAATTCACACCAAGCATGTGTGCATACATGCCCAAAATCCTGAGAGGAGGAGGGAGGAGAAGGGATTGCGTGGTCATCTTCCTGGGGGCTGATTTCTCACTTTCTGTCTTTCTGTCTTTCCGGCGAGTGCACGTGCCCTATAGCAAAAATCTCTCTCTAAAAAAAGGTAGTGCTGGCACCAGCAGATGGCATAATGGTTACGTCACTGGACTCCCATGTCATCGACCGCAGTTCGAGTCCTGGACCCGGTGGCTTAAACTCATGCCAGGCACATGTGCATGTGTGCCCAAGTTACGGCATGGCCCCTGGGAGGTGATTTCTCACTTTCCGTTTCTCTCTGTCTTTCTGGCAAGCACAAGTGCCCCATAGCAAAAACTTCTCCAAAAAAAAGGTGGTGCAGGGGTGAAAACGTAACACTGTGAGGCTGACCCACATGGGAAAGTGGGAAGGTTCCATGTTCAAGTCCAGAGACCTCCCCAGGTGCAGGTCGTGCTTGTGCCCATGATCCAGGGCTGCTGACGTCAGGGGCAAATACCCTCTGGGTGCTGTCTCTGTCTCTGACTGAAACCACAGTCAAGTCATATGGGAATCCAGTGCCCCCAACCACCACGCCACCTGCCAGCCCAAAACTGTTTTTTATTTTTAATGAAAAGCAGTTAATAAAAAAATGAAAATCAATTAAAATATATGTATATATAATTATTATATTATTTGTAAGTAAACAATACATAAAATTATTTCAGAATTATTTTAAGGGGCTGGCAAGTGGCATGGTGGTTAAGATGCTGGATTCTCACATGACCAATCACGGTTCAAGTCCCAGTCCCAGACCTGGCAGCCTTTTCTTTCTTTCTTTCTTTTTTTTTTTTTTTTTTGAGAGGTTTTTGCTATAGGGCGTACACACTCACCAGAAAGACAGAGAGAGACAGAGAGACAGAAAGCGAGAAATCACCTCCTGGGGGGATGCCATGCCGCAATCCCTTCTCCTCCATTCTCCTGTCAGGATCTTGGGCACGCCCGGCGTGTTTAAGCCTCTGGGTCCGGGACTCAAGCCGTGGTCAACTACATGGGAGTCCAGCGACATAGCCATTACGCCAACTGCTGGTCCCACTGGCAGCTTGCTTTCTTACTTTCCTTTTCTCTCTCTCTCTGTCTCTCTCTGGTCAAATTAAAATGATCATAATTAATTGAATAAAATAAGTAAATAATTATTTTAAAACATTTTAAAATTATTTCTTGAATTCCATTTGTTACTTTATTTTTAATTTCACCAAAGAAAGAGAGAGAGTGAGAGAAGGGTTAAGCAAGAGAGCAGACTGCCAGGTCCAGTATTGAACTACAGTCGGCCATGTGGGAGTTCAGTGCCTTCACCACCATGTCACCTGCCAGCTCCTTTTAAAACCTTTTTTAAGGGGACCAGCAGGTGGCGTGGAGGTTAAGGTGCTGGACACTCCCACATGGCCAACCATGGTTTGAGTCCTGGACCTGGCGGCTTGCTTTCTCACTTTCCCTCTTTCTCTCTGTGTCTCTCTCTGGTCAAGTTTAAAACTGAATGAATAAATAAAATTAAATAATGTGTTTTTTTATAAAATTTCTAAATAAATTTTTTTTTAATTTGGCAACCAGTAGATGGTGTAGTGGTTACATCGCTGGACTCTCACATAGTCGACCGTGGTTCAAGACCTGACCCAGCAACCTAAAACTTCCGCCAGGTGTACGTGCATGCGTGCCCAAAATCCCGAGAGGAGAATGGAAAGGGGATTGCAGCATGGCCATCCACTGAAGGGGGGTGATTTCTTGCTTTCTATCTCTCTGTCTCTCCTGTGAGTGCATATGCCCTGTAGCAAAAATCTCTCTCTAAAAAATTTTTTTAATTAAAAAAAAATTATTTTAAATTTAAAGCCACATAAAACTAGTGGCTACCATCCTGGGGAGAGAAAGAGTACTTTTTTCTGGTTTGCACACAAACTCTTGTACAGAAACCGCAGTCAGCTCCGCCATTCATCTGCACAGAATCAGCCTCAGCCCTTGCAGTCCCACCCCCGCCCCCAGGTTCGGCTCCCTGAGGGGGCAGGGCAAGTCTGGCTGGGTCCTCAGTGAGGGGCAGAAGCTCCAGGAATGAAAGATCCAGACGGACAGCTCTCGCCCTCCATCTGGCTGTCCAGGCCTGCCGGGCTTGTCTCGGGCGCAGGCATCTCACCGGGCTCCAGGTGCACACAGCCCAGAGCCTGCTCATGGCGTCTATGCCCACGGACGCCGCGCCTCCAGGGTTGCCTCTCAAACCCACCGTGTTCCACACCAGGTCCTGCTCCTCCAAGACCCGCTCCTTTGCCCTTCCCCAATCCAGAGAACAACTCGACGCTTCCCCTTCAGGGTGCTCAAGACCAAAGCCGGAGTGTGTGTGTGGGGGGGTCATCCAGACCCTCCCATGTCCCATGTCCTACCCAAGGGCAAATCCTGCAGGTAGCGCGTGCAAACCAGATCCAAAGCCCGCACTTCTCACGCCGGGTCTGAGCACACAGACCCGGTAGGAAACCAGGCTCTGCTCTGCACCTCTCTGCACCAAACCGTGGGCTCGCCATCGCAGGCTCAACT